ATGTCGGTGGATGGATTTATGAAGGATGAGGTTAATCATAGAATTGATGAGGGAAAAAAGGTGAGTGGTGCGTTGAGGTATATGTGGAGACAAAAACATTATCTATGGAGGCAAAGAAGGGAATGTATGAAAGTATAGCAGTACCAACACTTATATGGGCGTGAAGCTTGGGTTGTGAATGCAGCAGCGAGGAGGGGGTTGGAGGCTGTGGAGATGTCCTGTCTAAGGGCAATGTGTGGTGTAAATATTATGCAGAAAATTTGGAGTGTGGAAATTAGGAGAAGGTGTGGAGTTAATAAAAGTATTAGTCAGAGGGCAGAAGAGGGGTTGTTGAGGTGGTTTGGTCATTTAGAGAGAATGGATCAAAGTAGAATGACATGGACAGCGTTTAACCCTTTGACTATCGCAACCCCCAATCCTGAGGTGTCTCCTGGTGTCGCAAAATTTAAAAAAAAAGATTTTCTTTTTTCTTTTGAAATGATAGAGAATCTTTTCCCGATTGTAATGACACCAAAAAAAACGAAATTTGATGGAAAACTGACGGAATTATGCTCTCGCGAAATTAGCGACCTCGGCGCTGTTTACAAATCAGCGATTTCGCCCACGTTGAGCCCTACTGTATTTTCGGCTAATTCCATTGTTCCAGTCGCCCAAACTCATAGCTATTTCTGTAGAACTCCATTTTTTCTATCGATTGAGTACAAGAAACTGCCCATTTACCGATTTCAACTACCTAATAATGTGGTCAGAAATTTGCAATTTGGCCAATTTCACAAAAACTAAAAAATATGACAATTTCAAAATAAGGTCCAGAATGAACAATGCAGACATTCCTGGCTCTAAAATAACATTTTTTTTTGCTCATCAGTCATGTCTCCAGGCCCCTCTGATATTACTCTTGCTTTCTATTTTGAATTTTTATTCAAACAAAAAATAGAAGACTTACTATTATGCAGACTACTGCAATACTGTAATAATTGCATAAATAATATCAACCCATTCATGACTGCATATTAGAATAGCTAGTTGGACATTTATTGGACAATGGCATCATTTGTTTACTTTTGAACATTGGCAAAAATCAAACATTTCCCCTACTTTGAGCTCCATTTCTAGGTTCTTTTTATAGTAAAATCAATCACACCTCTATTTCTATAATATGTTTTCCATTCTATCAAATGAGACCAAGAAAACGAGAATACAACCATAAATACTATACAAGAATAGACCACAAATTCGGCATTTTAATTAAAAAAAACGGTCCGAGTTTTTTTTTCTCATTATGCACTGCATGCTCCAGGATTTTTTTTATATGGTGCACACTGACCACACAGACCCATTCTCTCACATGTGGGCCTACCAGCTTTCTCCTGCTTGATTTGAAGCCGCTAGAATTTATGAGTACAGTGGACCCCCGGTTAACGATATTTTTTCACTCCAGAAGTATGTTCAGGTGCCAGTACTGACCGAATTTGTTCCCATAAGGAATAATGTGAAGTAGATTAGTCCATTTCAGACCCCCAAACATACTCGTACAAACGCACTTACATAAATACACTTACATAATTGGTCGCATTCGGAGGTGATCGTTATGCGGGGGTCCACTGTATATATACGTCAAACATGGTACCTTGTAAGACGTATATATATGGCCGCGACAGTCAAAGGGTTAATGTCACCTTTGCACTATTTATAACATTTCTGGTATATTTTAAATGTTTATACAGTAGTGTACTGTTATTTTATTATTTTATTATCACACTGGCCGATTCCCACCAAGGCAGGGTGGCCCGAAAAAGAAAAACTTTCACCATCACTGTCACTCCATCACTGTCTAATATACATTATTTAGGTATGCATACTGGTCAGAGCGCCCATTGTAAGTCCGGCTGTATGTATTTTCAAGCATTTGTATTGTATGTTTTGTATGTTCTGAATGGTCTTATTATCAACAGGTGGTCCAGAGCAAATTGCCTCATCCATTTGCTTTAACATACTTTAATCACACATTATACTGGACTGATTGGGAGACGAGAGCCATACACTACTGCAGCGTCGGTCAGAGGGTTAGTAGTCTTGATATTTTCGTTTTTTTTTATTATTATTGTGAAACTACTTTGTGTTTCATATCTTGATAATTTGTTTCATGGACACAATTCAGTGTGGGTGTGAGGCGTGGGTTTTGAATGTTGTAGGGAGGAAGAGGCTAGAGGCAGTGGAGATGTCATGTTTGAGAGCAGTGTGTAGTGTGAATATCATGCAAAGAATTCGACGTGTAAAAATTAAAAGATGATGCAAGGTAATACCAGTGGTGAGCACAGCTAACCGAAAAGTTAGCTTTGCTAACTGCTAATCCGCTAACTAAAAAATTAGCTCTGCTAACGCTAAACGGCTGAAAAAGTTAGCGGAAGCTGACGCTAAACGCCAACTTTTTCGCGTGAATTCAGATTCAGTTTAATTTTTTTTACTTTTAAGACCTTTAGAACAGATGTGGAGAGCTTCCTAATAAGATATAGAATACCAAGATCATATGATGATCAGTTGCTGCTAGTATGAAAATAGTCTGTGTTTAATTTTGTGATGTAATGCGAATGATCGACAAGGACATACTTGTTGCTGTACTGAAGCCCCATAGCACCCGAACAAATAGTTAGCTTATTTGACTGTTTTCTTCATTAGTTCCAGTTACTCATTGTATTTGTTCATTTTATTCTGTTTCTGTTCATGTTTGCACTGTACCTTATAAGATACTCCTCCAGCTGTTTAAGGCTGACCAAAATCCTCCTGCCCAGGGTGCAGTGGGACATCAACGTCTTGTTGGGGGTTCAGCGTCTTGATCAGGCTGACAAAGGTGGGGGATTCCACTACATGCAGCAGTAACATGTTGCAGAGGAACAGGTCCACAATCTTTGTGTCCACCACAGACTGATGGACACTAGTGCCAGCAGCAAATGGTGGTCTGGCGTGCTCTTTTTGCAGGCGGCTGTGATGACTGGCTGCTGCTCCTGCTAGTGGTGCTGCCATGAGATGTTTTCCATGAGAAAATCCGGCCTAGATTCTCTCCTCAAACTTGATGGCATGCGCTGGGTGTTTCCTCTTAACATGCGACTTAAGTTGTAGAGGCTTACCACCAGTCCCTTGATGGTGATTTCCTTGGGCTGGCACATGACACACAGGAAGTACAAAATATTGGCATTCTTTGTATCCCTTGACTTATGGACAAAATAGTTGTCCAGGTGGGGCCACGGGTTCTGCGACTCCTGGCCCCTCAGCCTGAGTGGCCTCTGCTTCAACCACAGCTGCTGCAGACTCCTCAACATCACCCTCAGGTGGAGCAGAAATGTCTCCCCTGTTCATAATGATAAGTGACAACGCACCCCGGTGATCGCTGACACTGTAAGTCTAAAACAATGCTGCTCAGATGCTGCTGCTGCTGCTACGTTGACAAGTCAGGTTTACACATAGTCAGCCAATAGCATGCCTGACTGACTGTTGGAGAAATGCCCACAACAGACAGGAACAAACACGTGTGCTGTTGAAAAGGCATTGCTTTCCGACTACTAACAACATACAGTGGACCCTCCCTTTTCGTCAGTCTCTGTTATCACCGATTTCCATTTTCGCTGACTTTTTTCGTCAAAATATTGGTTCAGTTTTCATCGACTTCCTCCGTTTTCATCGATGGTACAGAACCTGTCCAGGGTCCAGCGCACAGACAAAGCCGCCTCCCACACGCATTCTCAGGCAGTGTCGTGTTGTTTCTCGGTGAGTGAACATATCCTGCAAGGTCATACGAAACATTTCGTAGTAATCCATTGTTTTTGGCACTTGTTTATTGTGTGTGACTGCTAAATAAACCATCATGGGCCCAAGGAAAGCTCCTAGTGCCAGTCCTTTGGTAGAGAAAGTGAGGACCACGATAAAATTAAAGAAAGAAATCGTAGCAGAGTACCAAAGTGGAGGAGGAAGAGAGAGGGGAGAATGTGTGTTCAGTGATTCTGCAATACGTATGATACTAAAGCAGCATGAGCCGATAAAGGTTATAGCGCCAACCAGCGATAAAGTGTAGCATTAACAGTGTAGCAAGTAAGTTAAGCGATTAATCGAGAGAAAAAGTACAGCAAGAACCTAACTCCTCCAATGTTGTTTGAGTTATATAGGGCTATTGACAACACCGCCACCTCTGCTGCTGCCTTCACCACCACTGTGTACAGCTTATGCTCACAGTGGCCCTTATACACCCAACAACAACAACAAAATACCACTCGTGACTTACATAATGACATATTTTATTCATTCTAGAGTATGTGTCATGTTTCTGTGTTATCATTATTCTTTATTATGTCATATTAGTTGACTTGTGATAGATAAATAAGCTGTAGAGTTGATATTAGTGTAATATTGAAGCATATTGTCCTGGCTCCAACAAACTTCCCTCCCTCTCCCCTCTGCCCCGTCTGCCATACACCAACAAGAGTCTTCAGTAAAGGTAAGTGTGATGTTAAATGTTCATTTATACATTTTATTAGTACTTTATGTTCATTTGTCTTTTTCTGCATGTAAATCTATATTTAAGCTAGGGAAGTGACCCCAGATAAGGACTTGGTACCTAGAGTCCTTATGGAGGGGGATTCCCCTTCCAAACAATAACCTTTCTTCCCTCTTCCCTCCCTGTCTTCCATCCATCAACAACACCCTTCATAAAGGTAAGTGTCATGTTGAATGTTCATTCTTTTGTGCATGTAAATCTTTAACCCCTTGACTGTCGCAACCCCAAATCCTGAAGTGTCTCCTGGTATCGAAAAATTTTTGGAAAAAAAAAAAAACTTTTTCTTATGAAATGATAGAGAATTTTTTCCCGATGGTAATGACACCAAAATTATGAAATTTGATTGAAAACTTACGGAATTACGCTCTCTTGAAGTAAGCGATCTCGGCAATATATACGCATCGGCAATTTCGCTGACTTTGGGCCCTATTTTTGGCCAGTTCTTTGGAACTTCATTTTTTCTATCAATTGAGTTCAAGAAACCACCTATTTACCGATTTCAACTACCCAATAAAGTGGTCAGAAATTGGCAACTTGGCCAATTTCACACAAATTAAAAAAGATGCCAATTTCAAAATAGGGTCCAAAATAGGGTCCAGACATTCTTGGCACTAAAATAACATATCCTCTGTTCATTAGTCACATCTCCAGGCCCCTCTTATATTACTCTTGCTTTCTATTTGATTTTTTCACACAAAAATATAGAAGATTTACTGTTATGCAGACTACTGCATTATTGTAAAAATAGTATAAATAATATCAGTGCACTAGTGAAAGAATATTAGACTCCCCAGTTGACGTGTATTGGACGTGTGATGTGATTTGCTTACTCTTGATCATTGGAAAAAATCGAACATTTCCGCTGCTTTGAGCTCAATTTCAAGGTCATTTTCATCGTGAAACTAATGAAAATTATCTCTATTTCTGTAATATGTTTTCCATTCTATCAAATGAGACCATGAAAATGAGAATACAACCATAAATAATATAGGAAAATACACCTCAAAGTCGGCGTTTTAATCCAAAAACACGGTCAGTTTTTTTTCCATCATTATGCACTGTGTGCTGCAGGATTTTTTTTTATACAGTGCACTGTATAGGCCCACTGTAGGCCCACATGTGCAGTGCACATGTGGGCCTACCAGCTTTCTCCTGCTTGATTTGAAGCCTCTAGAATTATTGAGTACTGAGAGGGAAAAGTTCAACAGATAGGGGTAGCAAGCGAGTACAGTGGACCCCCGCATAGCGATTTTAATCCGTGCAAGAGGGCTCGTTGTTATGTGAAATGATCGGTATGCGAAGGAATTTTCCCCATAAGAAATAATGGAAATCAAATTAATCCGTGCAAGACACCCAAAAGTATGAAAAAAAAAAAATTTTACCACATGAAATGTTAATTTTAATACACACAAACTGAAAAAGGCATGCACAATTACATGACACTTACTTTTATTGAAGATCTGGTGATGATTGATGGGATGGGAGGAGGGGAGAGAGAGTGTTTGTGTTTAGAAGGGGAATCCCCTTCCATTAAGACTTGAGGTGTCGAGTTCTTTTCTGGGGTTACTTCCCTTCTTCTTTTAATGCCACTAGGACCAGCTTCAGAGTCACTGGACTTCTTTCGCACAACATATCTGTCCATAGTGGCCTGTACCTCTCGTTCCTTTATGACTTCCCTAAAGTGTTTCACAACATTGTCAGTGTAATAGTCACCAGCACAGCTTGCAATAGCTGTGTGAGGGTGATTCTCATCCATAAAGGTTTGCACTTTCAGCCACATTGCACAGATTTCCTTAATCTTTGTAGTAGGCAACTTCTTCAATTTCTCTCTCCCCTCCTCTGAACCAGTTTCCTCAGGTATGGCCTCTTGCTGTTGAAGTTGATCTATCAGTAAATAACAAAAAGGCACAATACCGTGACTGGAACGATACACAAATAACCCGCACATAAAAGAGAGAAGCTTACGACGACGTTTCGGTCCGACTTGGACCATTGACAATGGTCCAAGTCGGACCGAAACGTCGTCGTAAGCTTCTCTCTTTTATGTGCGGGTTATTTGTGGATCTATCAGCTCATCAGTGGTTAGTTCTTCATTGTCGTCCTCCACCAACTCTTCCACATCCTCCCCACTAACCTCCAACCCCAAGGACTTTCCCAATGCCACAATGGATTCCTCAACTGGCATAATCCTCTCAGGGTTAGTCTCAAACCCTTCAAAATCCCTTTTGTCTACACATTCTGGCCACAGTTTCTTCCAAGCAGAGTTCAAGGTCTTCTTAGTCACTCCCTCCCAAGCCTTATCTATAAGGTTTACACAATTGAGGATATTAAAGTGCTCTCTCCAAAACTCTCTTAGTCAGTTGAGTTTCTGAGGTCACTACAAAGCACCTTTCAAACAGAGCTTTTGTGTACAGTTTTTTGAAGTTTGCAATAACCTGCTGGTCCATGGGCTGCAGGAGAGGAGTGGTATTAGGAGGCAAAAACTTCACCTTAATGAATTTCATGTCCCCATAAAGTCGCTCTGCCACGTCTGTAGGATGACCAGGGGCATTGTCTAACACCAGGAGGCACTTAAGTTCTAATTTCTTTTCAGTTAGGTAATCTTTCACATTGGGGGCAAATGCATGGTGTAACCAGTCATAGAAAAAGTCCCTAGTGACCCATGCCTTACTGTTTGCCCTCCACAGCACACACAAATTCTCCTTGAGGACATTCTTTTGCCTGAACGGTCTGGGAGTTTCAGAGTGATACACTAATAAAGGCTTCACTTTGCAATCACCAGTAGCATTGGAACACATCAACAAAGTAAGCCTGTCTTTCATAGGCTTATGTCCTGGGAGTGCCTTTTCCTCCTGAGTAATGTAGGTCCTGCTTGGCATTTTCTTCCAAAACAGGCCTGTTTCATCACAATTAAACACTTGTTCAGGTTTCAGTCCTTCACTGTCTATGTACTCCTTGAATTCCTGCACATATTTTTCAGCTGCTTTGTGGTCCGAACTGGCAGCCTCACCATGCCTTATCACACTATGTATGCCACTACGCTTCTTAAATCTCTCAAACCAACCTTTGCTGGCCTTAAATTCACTCACATCATCACTAGTTGCAGGCATTTTTTTAATTAAATCCTCATGCAACTTCCTAGCCTTTTCGCTTATGATCGCTTGAGAGACGCTATCTCCTGCTAGCTGTTTTTCATTTATCCATACCAATAAGAGTCTCTCAACATCTTCCATCACTTGCGATCTCTGTTTCGAAAACACAGTTAAACCTTTGGCAAGAACAGCTTCCTTGATTGCCTTTCTGTTGCCCACAATAGTAGCGATGGTTGATTTGGGTTTCTTGTACAACCTGGCCAGGTCGGCGACACGCACTCCATTTTCATACTTATCAATGATCTCTTTCTTCATCTCTATAGTAATTCTCACTCTTATTACTGTAGGGTTGGCACTAGAAGCTTTCTTGGGGCCCATGGTCACTTATTTTGCAGATAAAATCACAAAAAAACACTGTAATAATACGAAATGTTCCGATTGTATGCTTGGATGTTACCGCGGAGGCTGGCTGGTAAACAATGCCACCGGCGGCACATGTGAGGCTGGCTAAGGGCGCACATTGGACGCGTCTCGGACGAACAGCGGTGAGCGGGTTTTTGAGCGGTATGCGAGGCAAAATTTTTGCGATAAAAGCGAGCGGTATGCGGATTAAACGTTATGTGATGCCAACGGTATGCGGGGGTCCACTGTATATGGTAACGATAGTTTGATTGCCGGATGCTTGTTAAGGTAGGGTCAGTCTCGCTCCTGCTATCCCCTCCCCCCCTTCTTCCCCACCCCGAAAGGTGACGTGTGGGGCTCCGGCCAAACAGTAATCACTCGACTCTCAGCTCCCAGCACAACTATAAGTAAAAGCCTCTGCTCCTATTCTAGTGGATATTGGTTGAAAGCTTCACTTTTGACCCATAATAAACTTAATCCTTTCAGTTTTAAGACTTTTCGATAATCACCACCTTTTTTAAGTATCTTGCACTTATGGAGAGTGTTTTCTTAAGCAGTAGGTAACCTGTCTCTCTTTCCAGCTTGGAATGACAGATCGGGTCATCTGCCAACCAACGAGATGTGTTGAAAGAGACGGACTGAAACAGCCCATGAGACGTCATTCATAATCTACCTACCTGATAAATTGTACAGGACACTACCCCTCATCTTTGCAGTGGTAAAGAACCTGGGTTCCTGTCATCTGGACTGACTATTCAAGGCTATAGACTCTGTGAAGAACTAGTCGTTGGGTTGTCACCAACACCTGTGACCCCCCCCCCCTCCCCACATCATCAGCAACGGCTACAATTTCTACAAGACGGTGTCAACCTCAACCAGACACCCCAGTATAACTGTACATATTAGCGTTGAATTCAAATGTCATTTTTCCATTTCATTTTTAATTTTTCTGTCAAATAGGATACACATTCATTTTTTCAATGTTTTATCTTTGCATTACTAAATAATAAAGTGTTAATCTTTGTGAATTATTATTTCTATTTCTATTCATTAATTTTCCTGAGGAGGAGCCAGCCTTGGTAATACAGTGGTCCCTCGTTTTTCGTAGTTCTCGGGAATCATAGATTTCGGAAATCATAGGAATATTTTCGTATAAACATGGGCTCGCTAATCATAGGTTGACTCGCGAATAGTAGTTTGTCATGGATGCGTACGCACGGTGTGAGCCGGAACGGCCTCCCTACCCAGCCAGTCTGGCATTGTTTACCAGTGAGTGAAGGTCCCCTCACGTGCTCCTATGAAATATTTCATAATAATCCACTCATTTTAGTGCTTGCAAGTAATAAATAAGCTACCATGGCTCCAAAGAAAGCTCCTAGTGCCGAGCTTGGAGAAAATTGTGGCCAGATTGTGTTGACAAGAGGGATTTTGAAGGGTTTGGGACTGACCCTGATGAGCCTATGTCTGTTGTTAAATCAATTGTGGCACTGGGGAGTTCCATGGGGTTGGATGTGAGTTTGGAGGATGTGGAAGAGTTGGTGGAAGACCACAACGAAGAGCTTACCACTGAGGAGCTGCAAGAGCTTCAGCAGGAACAGCAACAGATCGCAGCTCAGAATCTTGCTGCAGAGGAGGAGGAAGAGAGATGGAAGAAGGTGCCTTCTTCAGAAATTAGAGATTTTTGCTATGTGGGGTAAGATGGAAAGCTTTATGGAGAAACATCACCCTGACAAGGTTGTTGCAAGCCATATTGGCAACATGTACAGTGACAAAGTCTTGGGCCATTTTAGGGAAGTGTTAAAGAGATGCCAGAAACAGAGCTCTCTCCACAGTTATTTTGCGAGACAGGACTCCAGTGACTCTCAAGGTGGTCCTAGTGGCATTAAGAAACAGAGAAGAGAAGCAACCCCAGAAAAGCAAATGGTACCTGAGGTGTTGATGTAAGGGGATTCCCCTTCCAAACTGTAAACAATCCAATCTCTCTCCTCCTCCAGTCTCTCATACACTAAGAAGAATCTCCAATAAAGGTAAGTGTTATGCTGTTAATGTTTCATTCATCATTTCCCATTGTATTGTTTATGTACTACATCTATATTTCATGTAAAAAAATTTTTTGTTTTAATACTTCTGGGTGTCAGGAATGGATTAATTGTATTTACATTATTTGTTATGGGGAAAATTGATTCGAAAATCGTAGATTTCGATAATAGTAGCAACTCCAGGAACAAATTAACTACGAAAAACGAGGGACCACTGTACTGTCTGAAGTTGTTACAGGGCTGAGTAAGCCTTCACAAGTACGTATATATCCGAAGCACTGGCTCATAAGACGTATATATACGGCCAAAACAGTCAAAGGGTTAAGGTAAAGAAATTTTATATTGTTAATACTTCTGGGTGTCTGGAACGGATTAATTGGATTTACATTATTTTTTATGGGGAAAATGGTTTCCGTTTTCGCCAATCACTCTGGAATGGATTAAACATGAAAACTGAGGGTCTACTGTATCAATTTTGTTTTAGCAGACTCAAAGTTAGCTGAACTTTATTTATCGGAAGCTAATTGGTCTGCTAACAATTTCTGAAGTTAGTGGAAACGCTAATCCGCTAAACAAAAAGTTAGTTCCACTAATTAGCGGTTAGCGGATTAGTGGAACTATGCCACCACTGGTAATTGAGTATAATTCAGAAGGCTCTGGAGCTGGTTTAGCCCTGTAGAGAGATTGGAGAGGGCTATGATGATGAAGAGTGCATACATCAGGGGTAGAAGTCAGGAGTAAGGATTGTCTAAGAAAAAGTTAGTGGGAGGGGAGTAAAGGAAGCTTCGAGCATCCAGCAGGCTTGTGTAAACACATTAAATAGGAGTGAATGTTACCTTGCTTGCTGGAGAGCAAGCAAGGTAACTTTTATGAGGGAATTTAGGGAAGCCAATTAGTCATACTTGAGTCCTGAAGGAGGGATGGGGATGTTGTAATAAGACAGTGTTTGAATGAGCAATGGTGAATGTTTTCTTCTTTGCATCACCCTGTCTTGGGAAGAGAGCCACTGAAGAAAAAAAAAAATACTAGTTTCTCTTGGTTTATGCGGGTTTGCTTTACGTGATTTCCTATTTCAATCAGTAGTTTGGTATGTGTGATATACATTTGCCATATGCACTCATTGTGGTTTACAGAGCATATTGAAGATTTTTATTATGATTAATTAAGTGTTACCATAGGCCTAGATCACATTTCTATATAGTGAGACTCCTCCTGCATTACAGTATGTAGTGAAAACTTTATAAATTTTACTAACAGTACATCTTAAACATGTTCATGGTTTTTTCACATTTTTATGTTCTTTGAGGGCAGGAAATGCTTTTATTTTCAAAATTAAAATAAAATGTATTACTCTATTACCAACAGAGAAGCTGTGACAAAGAGCAACAACTTGGAACCAACCTGTCGCCCATGTACATCCATGTGTACGACCCTGCACGCCAGCTACACATTGACACGCCTTGCCAGAACAATAATGGAGGGTGCAGTCACCTGTGTTTGGCTGCTCCAGCACCCCAGAATTTATCATGTGCATGTCCCACTGGGGTCAGGCTGATTGACGAGTTTAATTGTTCCGATGGTAATACTTGCAGACACTAGCTCTTAATTTGTGTTTGAGTGAATGTCACTCATTTTTGTGTACCCTGTAATTGGTTGTAAATTATTTGGATATTATATGGTATATTTCTTGAAGATAGTGAATGAAAATAAAGGTTGTAGTATTAACCCTTTCACTGTCGAGATCCCTGCTCATAAACTTGCTCTCAGTGTTGAAGAATTTAAAAAAAAAAATTCTTATGAAATGATAGAGAATCTCTCCTCAATGGTAATGACATCAAAAGTACAAAATTTGATGGAAAACTTAGAGAATTACGCACTCATGAAGTTAGCGGTCTCGGTGATATTTACACAGCGATTTCACCCACTTTGAGCCCTACTTTCGACCAATTTCGTTGTTCCAGTTGACCAAACTCATAGCTATTTCTCTAGAACTCCATTTCTTCTATTGATTGAATACAAGAAACTGTCTATTTCATCTATCCAATAAAGTGGTCAGAAATTGGCAATTTGGCCAATTTCACATGAATTTCAAAAGATGCCAATTTCAAAATAGGGTCTAGAATGAACAATTCGGGTATTCCTGGCACTAAAATAACATTTTCTCTGTTCATTAGTCATGTCTCCAGGCCCCTCTTATATTACTCTTCCTTTCCATTTTCAATTTTTATTCACAAAAAATATAAGATTTATTGTTATGCAGACTACTGCATTATTGTAATAATTATATAAATAATGTCAACCCATTTGTGACTACGTATTAGACTGGCCAGTTGGACATGTATTGGACGGTGACGTTATTTGTTTACTCTTGAACATCGGCAAAAATTTAATATTTTTTGCTACTTTGAGCTCAATTTCAAAGTACTTTTCATCGTGAAACCAATCAAAATTACTCCATTTCTGTAATATATCTTCCATTCTATCAAATGAGGCCAAGAAAACAAGAATACAACTATAAATACCATATGAAAATACATTGCAATGTCACTGTTTTAAACCAAAAACACGGTTGGAGGTTGTTTTTTCTCATGCACTGCGTGCTGCAGGATTTTTTTTTATACTGTGCACACTGACTGCTCAGACCCATTGTCTCATATGTAGGCCTACCAGTTTTCTTCTGCAAGATTTGAAGCCACTAGAATTTTGGTGTAATGTTACAGGACCGACGCTGGTTTGCAACCCGTAATATTATGGGACCGACAGTGAAGGGGTTAAATACTAATTCCTTGTTGAGAATTTATTAGGTTTCTGCCATTTTTTTTCCTAAGTTTTCATAAATGAGGAAAAAAACATCAAATCTCTGAAATGCAAATAAAGTAATATTATGTTGGAGTACTTTTAGAAGGCAAACTTTATATTTAGTAAACAAATGGTATGCTGTGAACTCAGGTTAAGTTGTAATAAACAACTGTCGATAAATAATGGTATACTGTATTTAAAGTTTTTTATTTTAATGTATATTCTAAGTTCAATTTAATTCAATTCAAAGTTTATTCTCTATAAAGATTACAATGTTGTATTTACAGAATTTGGTTGTTGTGTGGTTTACATGTAGTTAAATAATGATTACAGAGTGTACCACTAGAATGCCTAGCATGGCTAGGCATTTCGGGCAGACTTAGTTTAATTCTTTATTTTAAAATACTACAAATTATGAGGTAAGTTGGTATTATGGCTAAGTGACTAAATACTAGTTTGTGAGTTTAGCAATGTGAATGCTTTTGTTTTGGCACAGTACATAGTTTCAGTATTGGAGTATCATAGGATTCATTATTTTAAGATTGAGATTAATATTTCTGTTTATGGTCAAATGGGTGAGTGAGTGTAAGTGTGAACCACCAGGTGGTATTCGTGTAGTTAGTTGATGGGGGTGTATCAGGGAGATAAGATGTTTTCTAATGGTAGTTTTGAAGGTGATGAATGTGTCTGCAGTTCTAGAGTTCTCAGGTAGGGTGTTCCAGATTTTAGGGCCTTTAAGACATACATTGAATTTTTGTAAAGGTTTAGTCGGACATGGGGAATGTCGTAGAGATGTTTGTGTCTGGTGTTATGCCTGTGGGTTCTGTCACAACTATCAAGAAAGCATTTTAGGTCAAGGTTGATATTGATTTAAATATGTTCATGCACATTAAATTAACTTTCCTTTTACAAGGGTTAAATTTAATTTGCATCTGTACAGATGCACTGCATTTAGCCTTTGAACTATTCATTATGTTGATCTGTGTCTGCCTGATAGACTGAGTGTGATAGTAATTGATGATTTTTATTTTTGTGAACACATTTCACAACTGTGTGATAGGAGTATCAGCTTGCTGTCATTTTTTTTCTCCATCCTTTCTTTATGTACAAACTGTCTTAACAACTCCTTTTCTGACCTTTAAATAGTACTTTTGGTAACCCTGCACCTTCTAATCTCCAATCTGCAGATTCTCTGCATGATATTCATACACATTGCCTGCAAACATGAAATCTACACTACTTTCAACAACCACCTTGCGGCAGCATTAAAAACCCACACTTCACACCCATACAACAGTACTGGTACCACTATACCCTGGTACAATATCTTTTTTGCCTTATGGATGAGGCTCTTTGTGCCCACAGATGACTCTCTGCACCACCCACCTTTTTTTCCCCTCCCTCTTCAATTCTGTGGTTTACTTCATCATTCATTGATCCATTTGCTGTTAAATCCATACCCAAATTTCTAAATACTACGTACTCCCCTCCACTTGAATATTCAGTCTTTCATTACTAAATTTTTTTTGTTACACTCATAACCTTGTTTCCTACATTCACTTTAATTTCCTTATTGTACATACCCTCCCAAGTTTGTTATCCAGCCTTTAAGGCTTCTCTTCAGAAGAGCCTTGTCATCAGCAAAAAGCGGCTGTGACAACTTCCACTTTGTATTAGATTCATTATCTTGTAATCCCACACCTCACTCAATCACCCTAGCATTCACATCTTTTATAACTCTCATTAATAAATGTTAAACTGCTGAAATACTTACAAACTTCCTTTTCTCTTGTTGCATTTCTTAAGCCTTACAACTTTTATTGTAAAGTGTGCAGGTACCAGCTAAAATGCACCGTTTATTCCCCACTCCATAATGTACATGATAAACTCTTTTCTGTAATAATAAGACTAGAATCTTGGCCAGGAACAAACTATGCAATATTTTGCATTTGCAGGTCCAGAAGAGATGTTGATCTTGGCTCGCCGGACAGATCTACGACGCATATCACTTGACACTCCAGATCACACTGCAGTTGTCATTCCCGTGTCAGGAGTTAAACATGCAATTGCTGTTGATTTTGACCCAGTTGAGAGCTTCATCTACTGGACTGATGACGAAGTAAGTCCATGAGCTGATATTTGTAGGTTGATATTAGTTTTTACGTAAATATTTATAAATGCAGTAATTTTTGGGATTCCTTTCTTGTGATCCTGAATGAATTAATAAATTTACTTTATTAAGGTTGAATATTAATGATAAAATAAAATTAGTCATTTTAAGAGAAACTAGATAGGCTGAAAGTAGAGACTGGTTGTTCTGCCAGAACATTGAGTTTTGTGATATTTCAGGGAGAAAAGTCAAGCCACAAGGCTGGCACACATTGGTGCAAAGTATTGAGAGGGTTAATCCATGTTAAATTGGCTTTCTAAGCCATGGTTAGAATAATAATGGTGTTCATAGCAGGTACTGAAATATGTAGTGTTCTTATTTTTCTAGAAAAACACGTGGAAAATCTGATTACAGTTACAATATTTTCTAGGTAGTAGGTTGGTAGACAGCAACTGCCCAGGGAGGCACTACCGTCCTCCCAAGTGAGTGTAAAATGGAAGCCTGTACTTGTTTTATATGATTGTAGGATTGCCGGTGTTCTTTTTTCTGTCTCATAAACATGCAAGATTTCAGGTACGTCTTGCTACTTCTACTTACACTTAGGTCACACTACACATACATGTCTTTCTTTCTTTCAACACTTCGGCCGTATCCCACCGAGGTGGGGTGGCCCAAAAGGAAAAATGAAAGTTTCTCCTTTCAAATTTAGTAATATATACAGGAGAAGGGGTTACTAGCTCCTTGCTCCCGGCATTTCAGTCGCCTCTTACAACACACATGGCTTACGGAGGAAGAATTCTGTTCCACTTCCCCATGGAGATAAGAGGAAATAAACAAGAACTAGAAAGAAAATAGCAGAAAACCCAGAGGGGTGTGTATATATATGCTTGTACAACACATACATGTACAACACATACATGTACAAGCATATATATGTATATATACACATCCCTCCTCCTTCCCCTCCTTTAGAGTGCAGGCACTGTACTTCCCATCTCCAGGACTCAAGTCCGGCCTGCCGGTTTTCCTGAATCCTTTCATAAATGTTACTTTGCTCACACTCCAACAGCACGTCAAGTATTAAAAACCATTTGTCTCCATTCACGTCTATCAGACATGCTCACGCATGCCCGCTGGAAGTCCAAGCCCCTCGCACACAAAACCTCCTTTACCCCCTCCCTCCAACCTTTCCTAGGCCGACCCCTACCCCGCCTTCCTTCCACTACAGACTGATACACTCTTAAAGTCATTCTGTTTCGCTCCATTCTCTCTACATGTCCGAACCACCTCAACAACCCTTCCTCAGCCCTCTGGAAAACAGTTTTGGTAATCCCGCACCTCCTCCTCACTTCCAAACTACGAATTCTCTGCATTATATTCACACCACACATCGCCCTCAGACATGACATCTCCACTGCCTCCAGCCTTCCCCTCGCTGCAACATTCATCACCCATGCTTCACACCCATATAAGAGCGTTGGTAAAACTATACTCTCATACATTCCCCTCTTTGCCTCCAAGGACAAAGTTCTTTGTCTCCACAGTCTCCTAAGTGCACCACTCACCCTTTTCCCCTCATCAGTTCTATGATTCATCTCATCTTTCATAGACCCATCCGCTGACACGTCCACTCCCAAATATCTGAATACATTCACCTCCTCCATACTCTCTCCCTTCAATCTGATATCCAATCTTTCATCACCTAATATTTTTGTTATCCTCATAACCTTACTCTTTCCTGTATTCACTTTTAATTTTCTTCTTTTGCATACCCTACCTTATTCATCCACCAACCTCTGCAACTTCTCTTCAGAATCTCCCAAGAGCACAGTGTCATCAGCAAAGAGCAACTGTGACAACTCCCACTTTGTGTGATTCTTTATCTTTAAACTCCACGCCTCTTGCAAAGACCCTTGCATTTACTTCTCTTACAACCCCATCTATAAATATACAGTGGACCCCCGCATACCGTCGGCATCACATAACGTTCACTCCGCATACCGTTCGCTTTTATCGCAAAAATTTTGCCTCGCATACCGCTCAAAAACCCGCTCACCGCTCTTCGTCCGAGACGCGTCCAATGTGCGCCCTTAGCCAGCCTCACATGTGCCGCCGGTGGCATTGTTTACCAGCCAGCCTCCGCGGTAACATCCAAGCATACAATCGGAACATTTCGTATTATTACAGTGTTTTTGGTGATTTTATCTGCAAAATAAGTGACCATGGGCCCCAAGAAAGCTTCTAGTGTCAACCCTACAGCAATAAGGGTGAGAATTACTATAGAGATGAAGAAAGAGATCATTGATAAGTATGAAAGTGGAGTGCGTGTCGCCGACCTGGCCAGGTTGTACAAGAAACCCAAATCAACTATCGCTACTATTATGGGCAACAGAAAGGCAATCAAGGAAGCTGTTCTTGCCAAAGGTTTAACTGTGTTTTCGAAACAGAGATCGCAAGTGATGGAAGATGTTGAGAGACTCTTATTGGTGTGGATGAATGAAAAACAGCTAGCAGGAGATAGCGTCTCTCAAGCAATCATAAGCGAAAAGGCTAGGAAGTTGCATGAGGATTTAATTAAAAAAATGCCTGCAACTAGTGATGTGAGTGAATTTAAGGCCAGCAAAGGTTGGTTTGTCTCTCAAGCAATCATAAGCGAAAAGGCTAGGAAGTTGCATGAGGATTTAATTAAAAAAATGCCTGCAACTAGTGATGTGAGTGAATTTAAGGCCAGCAAAGGTTGGTTTGAGAGATTTAAGAAGCGTAGTGGCATACATAGTGTGATAAGGCATGGTGAGGCTGCCAGTTCGGACCACAAAGCAGCTGAAAAATATGTGCAGGAATTCATGGAGTACATAGACAGTGAAGGACTGAAACCTGAACAAGTGTTTAATTGTGATGAAACAGGCCTGTTTTGGAAGAAAATGCCAAGCAGGACCTACATTACTCAGGAGGAAAAGGCACTCCCAGGACATAAGCCTATGAAAGACAGGCTTACTTTGTTGATGTGTTCCAATGCTACTAGTGATTGCAAAGTGAAGCCTTTATTAGTGTATCACTCTGAAACTCCCAGACCGTTCAGGCAAAAGAATGTCCTCAAGGAGAATTTGTGTGTGCTGTGGAGGGCAAACAGTAAGGCATGGGTCACTAGGGACTTTTTCTATGACTGGTTACACCATGCATTTGCCCCCAATGTGAAAGATTACCTAACTGAAAAGAAATTAGAACTTAAGTGCCTCCTGGTGTTAGACAATGCCCCTGGTCATCCTACAGACGTGGCAGAGCGACTTTATGGGGACATGAAATTCATTAAGGTGAAGTTTTTGCCTCCTAATACCACTCCTCTCCTGCAGCCCATGGACCAGCAGGTTATTGCAAACTTCAAAAAACTGTACACAAAAGCTCTGTTTGAAAGGTGCTTTGTAGTGACCTCAGAAACTCAACTGACTCTAAGAGTTTTGGAGAGAGCACTTTAATATCCTCAATTGTGTAAACCTTATAGGTAAGGCTTGGGAGGGAGTGACTAAGAAGACCTTGAACTCTGCTTGGAAGAAACTGTGGCCAGAATGTGTAGACCAAAGGGATTTTGAAGGGTTTGAGGCTAACCCTGAGAATCCTATGCCAGTTGAGGAATCCATTATGGCATTGGGAAAGTCCTTGGGGTTGGAGGTTAGTGGGGATGATGTGGAAGAGTTGGTGGAGGAGGACAATGAAGAACTAACCACTGATGAGCTGATAGATCAACTTCAACAGCAAGAGGCCAGACCTGAGGAAACCGGTTCGAAGGAGGGGAGAGAGAAATTGAAGAAATTGCCTACTACAAAGATTAAGGAAATCTGTGCAAAGTGGCTTGAAGTGCAAACCTTCATGGATGAAAATCACCCTCACACAGGTATTGCAAGCCGTGCTGGTGACTATTACACTGACAATGTTGTGAAACACTTTAGGGAAGTGATAAAGGAACGAGAGGTACAGGCCACTATGGACAGATATGTTGTGCGAAAGAAGTCCAGTGACTCTGAAGCTGGTCCTAGTGGCATTAAAAGAAGAAGGGAAGTAACCCCAGAAAAGGACTCGACACCTCAAGTCTTAATGGAAGGGGATTCCCCTTCTAAACACTAACACTCTCTCTCCCCTCCTCCCATCCCATCAATCATCACCAGATCTTCAATAAAAGTAAGTGTCATGTAATTGTGCATGCCTTTTTCAGTTTGTGTGTATTAAAATTAACATTTCATGTGGTAAAATTTTTTTTTTTTTCATACTTTTGGGTGTCTTGCACGGATTAATTTGATTTCCATTATTTCTTATGGGGAAAATTCATTCGCATACCGATCATTTTGCATAACAATGAGCCCTCTTGCACGGATTAAAGTCGCTGTGCGGGGGTGCACTGTATTAAACAACCACGGTGACATCACACATCCTTGTCTAAGGCCTACTTTTACTGGGAAATAATATCCTTCTTTCCTACATACTCTAACTTGAGCCTCACTATCCTCGTAAAAACTCTTCACTGCTTTCAGTAACCTACCTCTTACACCATACACCTGCAACATCTGCCACATTGCCCCCCTATCCACCCTGTCATACGCCTTTTCCAAATCCATAAATGCCACAAAAACCTTTTTAGCCTTATCTAAATACTGTTCACTTATATGTTTCACTGTAAACACCTGGTCCACACACCCCCTACTTTTCCTAAAGCCTCCTTGTTCATCTGCTATCCTATTCTCCATCTAACTCTTAATTCTTTCAATAATAACTCTACCATACACTTTACCAGGTATACTCAACAGACTTATCCCCCTATAATTTTTGCACTCTCTTTTGTCCCCTTTGCCTTTATACAAAGGAACTATGCATGCTCTCTGCCAATCCCTAGGTACCTTACCCTCTTCCATACATTTATTAAATAATTGCACCAACCACTCCAAAACTATAGCCCCACCTGCTTTTAACATTTCTATCTTTATCTCATTAATCCCGGCTGCCTTACCCCCTTTCATTTT